AGTTTATAGATTATAATGACCAAGAATACTTTTTACTAAAACTGGATTTTTCGGTTTTCGAAGGTCGTGTCCCCCTTAAAAGCTGTATCAAACAAAACAAAAACGACATGTATTTATTCTCATCCATGCTTTTTTAAGGAATAGTACACATATTGCATCAGAACTCCTTTCTTGTGTTTGAGAAAGCATGGCACCTCTCTTTATAATCAATGACCACCAGGCTTTGCTGTCCAGTGCTTAGTATTCTCTGCTATTATTATTATGCACTGCTTTGTATGGCCTACTGCTATTAGCAGTAAAACCTCATTAATATGAACCATTATATCAAAGTCTCATTTAATCTGAAATATTTCCGCAATTCCGTAGTTCGCAATGCAAGTCTGAGCGGACAATTTGCAGTGGCGGTCAGCACCAGCTTGGTTATTTCTTTAGTTACCACGCCTATTTAAGTTGATCACCGGTGATGAAGGCTTTGGTTCGTCGATTTAGGGACGTCGAATTTGTTTCTCGTGAACCCAGCACTTTCTAGTAGTTAGTCAAGCCCCTTTTCAGAATCAGTTTGAATTTGCCAGTCTTGGCTACATAGTGACTTCTGAGACCTTTACACAAACCAATGTGTGTATGTTATTGGGAAAATGCACATAGCTTGGGAACTTCACATAAGTGCATGCCCCTCGTGCTTATGCTACAGTAATATCAAAGTTCTGTAATCAAAATAACCTTTGCAAGTCAAATATCAATTCAATATGTCATCTTCACCATCTGACAGTAATAATTGTTGAGCAGTAATAATTGCCAGAAATTTATGCCAGCTATTCAATAGAGAGCCGTTGCTAGGAGTCGGGGAAAATTCATTTTACAAAAAAATATTTCCGATAGTTCGCCGTATGTGTAAAGTGTGGAGGTGGCCTTCTAGGCCAGTTTCCAGCAGCTTTGGTTTCGCTTGTATCATTATATCAGGCACAGAGTTGCATCTAGTGTCACTAGTCGCTCCTACGCCGTCATCGTCGCGCGCGCGCACCATTGCTGCAAGAAACACGTTGCACAAGACTGTCTTTCAACCCCACCTGAAGGTAGTGAGGACGAGTTTGGAGTCAGTGGATGACAGAACCCAAACTTCAAGTTTTGTGGCAATGATGTTTTGCATCAACCTGAGACATTCGTAGTCGTTCATGGGTTTGTTTTCTTTACGGCCTCAAGTTGTCTTCTCTGCCTCAAGTGCGTAGCTACAACCTTTGTGCACAATCTTATAGCTACTCTGGTTACGTGCAAGGTCCACACTTTGCTGGTGCACGGTGTGCTGGTACCGGCTGCTGAGCCTATTGCATGAGAAAGAGTCACCGGAGCACATCTTGGTCCTTACTACGGAGCAGCGAAAAACATTTTAGGACCGAACATGATATTGTTCTTTTTTTAAATACGATGTGCAAAAACACAAAGAAATATGCTTAGATGCATTTACTGAAATGACAAGTGAGGTGGCTCATGGAAAGCGGCGGCGCTAGACGAAATAGCGAAGTGCATAGGACATCTGATTTAGAGACGAATTATTTACATTACAGGCATCCATCTATAATAGAAGACATGCAGGCTCTTATTGCAAAAAAACAAAAAAAGTGTTATTGAAAAAAAAAAAGTACGAGCTCCCCCGAGTCTCACGAAAAACCAAGCTGTTGAGTTCTTCACCGCATGACACAAGCAATGAAGCACAGCTCGATTCCAATTTATCTATGTTAATAAAGGCATTCTGTACAACATTTGTTGCTTTTTATACTGTTGATTAGTCATTAATCTTCAATATGTATATTCTGAATTTTTTGTGTTATGAATATTTTTGAAGATATTGAGTTTCTTTTATTGCATTGTGCCGATTCCCGATCACACTTTTACCGCAAATCTACAAAAATAACACCTGTTAAAAGCCACACGGCAATGCAACATGGCAATACTAATAAGTGGTAGCTGAAGCACCCCAGCCTTGCAACTTCCAATGAAAAAAAATGGCAGCATATCCACGGAGTGAATGATGGATAGCGGGGCAAAGCATCCGTCCATCCATCCACGCGTGCGTCTGTTCGTGCGTCCGCACGTTCATCTGTGCGCCCGTCCCTGCTTTCGTCTATGCATCCGCTCCTGCGTCCTTCCATGCGTCCATACGTCCGTGCATCCATCCATGCGTCCGTCTATGCATCTGTCTGTGTGTCCGTTGGTCCACCTATTTCGACACTCCAAGTACCACCATCTCGCAACTTTTCATCATATATTCCTCATGTAGAAGCACCGCCATTCAGTGGACATTCCAAGGACTGAATGAGAGGGGGCACACGCACACTTTCTTACGGCTTGCGCTTCGTGTCTACTTCCCGCCTTTAACCACCTCAAGTTCATGGTATATACAGTCGACTCCCGATAATTCGAAGTTGCTTAATTGGAAGAATCGGTTAATTGGAAGTGGAGTGGGGGTTCCGTCAGTTTTGCATACAGTTCAACAGGAAGAAATTCTCGGTAATTGAAAGCTAGAGGTCTGAAATTTCAGTTAATTCGAATTTATTTTCAATCAAATTCCTGGAGGAAATCATAATGTTTGTTGAATTTCCTATTTTCGAATTGCTAAACAACAATGCGTGTCCGACCGGCACCCAAGGCCATCGCAGTTGACCACAGCGCCGCAGCTCAAAGGGTCAGCTGATGGCATCGCAGTTGCATGCAGCGCCCCAGATCACAAAGCGGCTGCTCTGACGGTTCCGGTTCCGGGCCTCATTGTTGATCTCGTTACGGTCGTGTGCGAACTCAGCGGTTCCACATGCGACGAAGCTCCACGTGCATTTACTATGGCAACTCGCGGGCCTTATCAGACGCTTGACTTGGCGACAAAAGTCAAAATTTTGAAAGAAGTTGAACAAGGAGACACCGCCAAGCAAGATATTGCGCAGAAATAAGGCATCAAGCCTAATACCCTGTCTAACATCCAGAAGAACAAGCGCTCGGTTCTGGACGCATTCGAAAATGACCAGTTCAAGATGTCTCGCAAGAGAATGCGTACCGGCGCCCACCCAGACTTACAGTAAGCGCTGCTCATCTGGATTCGGGAGGCTCGAAGTAACAGACTCCACTGTCGGACGCTGAGATCGTGAAGATGGTTCGGCCCAGCGAGCCTAGTCACGAAACTGAGGTTGACGACGACGACGCCGCAAGTGAGCCACTACCGCGGGCTGCTGATGTAGCCGCAGGCCTTGCCCTCGCGCAGCGGTTTTTCACTGCTGAGAGCAACGCCGAGGAAGCACTCGGGCACATATACAGCGTGCAGGACTTTCTTTCTGCTGCAAGATTCAGCAAACAGAAGCAGACGGCAATCACAGATTTTTTCTCATAAACTGTTTTGAAATAAATGTATTTTTCGTTCATTGTGGTTAATTGGAATTCCGCTTAATTCGAAGTTTTTCGCGGTCCCCGTGAACTTCGTATTAACGAGAGTCGACTGTACTAGTTCACTGTATTCACTGCGGCCCAACGCTCGCTAAACTTTTCTGAAACCTAGGAGGTTTCATATGCCCAGCGAGTGAAATGTAGCAACCCTTTCTTGTCTTTTGTGCATTGTTGAACAATAAAAAATTCACAGCGTGCGCGTTAACTAAAAGCCGAATTCTCCTGTCTCATTCCCCCTTAGCAGCCATTGGCATGTACATTGAGCACTATCTTTTATTGTTCAGCAACGCACAGAAGAAATCTCTCAACGGCACCACCTTGGAGGTCAAATTGTTATACTTGTTACACACTACTACATTGGCTACGAGGAAAGAACGGGTGCCGCTATAAGGAGCTTCGCCCATAAAAAAAAGAAACAGTCTCGTGGTCAACCAAAATCTGTGCCAGCAGAAAACAAGATGTGCTTCACTGCACCACAATGGTGACACACAGGCAGCATATAGCATGATTTGCCCATTCTTCCTGGGATTGTAAAGAAATTAATGAAGGATAGTTTGGCAGAAATCGTGATGCATACAAGCCTTCGATCGCTGATTGCTCCAGCAATATGCGCACTTGCACTGCTGGCAGAGTTTTCACCTGCAATGCCTACCTTGAAAACTAAGTTATTAAATCTCAATGAGCATATTTTCCAGTGAATTTCATCACAGTGGCCATATTAAGTTCTTTATTTTACCAGAAAAAAGGGGCGAATGGTCGCATCATTACGTGCTGACACAGCGAGGAGCAGGCGACATGCTGCTCGCATGTCACCACTATGTTGCAGTGAAGATCTCTGGTTTTCCACAGGCACGCATTGCAGTTCATCACGATAGTTTGTTAGTTTTTTTTTTCGTGGCAGCAGCATGGCTTGCCACTCCCGCATGTTTGTGGCAAAATTAACACCAAGTATTTCGTGGTAAATATAAGCCTTGGAGCTGCAAACTAGCCACCACAGCAAACGACCAGCCCTGATTACTTCGAACAATTCCAAATTCCTTGAATTCCAGTTTTTTGTACGTTCTATTAATACGAAAACTTGCTTAATTTGAAGCTTTTTCATGGCCCCAGCGACTTTGAATTAAAGCGGTTTTACTAAATTTTGAAATCGATTTCAGAACAAACAGACTCAAACATTAAATATTGAATCCAGAAATAACAAAATAAACGAAGAATAGCCTTGCAGTACATATCCCCTTCAGGCGCGAATTAAATCTGACGTAGCGAAAAAAAAATTTTGTTCAGATTATGAATACATAACGCTATTAAAGAAGGAATCCACAAGAAATTCAGAAAAAAATTCATTGGTTCAATTTTTCAATGGCGTCCACATATGTGGACATTGCGCCTCAAAGCAGTCATATTGTCACGTGACCGTTACCCAAGCGCGCGCACGAAGACGCAGGGAAAGGAAGACGACGAAGGTGCGCCATGGCTTGTGCGTGGGTTTTTCGCCATACTGCCTGTTGTATAGGCTCTAGTAAATACATATTTTACATCTCGCTTTCCTTGTTGCAATACCCATGAACGGTGGAGAAGAAGAAAACAAACGCTTTTATTTCGGAGGCTCGCAAATAATCATTGCAGGAACACTGCTTAGGAAGTCTTTTCCGCAAAAATAATCAGAAAGAGTCTATTTGGTATGAAACAAATAAAAACAGTCGTTCTGAGATGTCAGACAAAGGAAAATGTTGCATTTCCTGCAGCGGACACGGCTTTTGGATGTGCATTCCTCTCTCCGGCAGCGTTGTGCGTTAGCCATGTTTACTTGCTGCGGCCAATGATTAATCCCATCATAGCGAACAGTGCTGACTGGTAGTGGTGAAGCATTGGGTACCTTCTTTTTCACTGTTCGGGAGTTGTCATTGCTCGGACGTCCACGCTTCTTTTGTGGCTTATTGCTGTTCAGCAGGCAATTCGCGACGTCTGTTTGGAACGCCATCATGTCCAGTGTCTCTTTTCTTAGTAGCCCTGCTTTATTGGCATCCCTTAAGTATTCAAGCCAACTGTTGGAGAGCGCAAAAGATGCAAAATGGGAAATCACTCTCACAGGCCACTTTTTCGTTCGCGTCCGCATTGGGTAGAGGGACATGATGAAGTCTAGTTTGTCTACTCCACCCATGTATTTGTTGTAGTCCAGGACTACCTCTGGACAGTCAATGTCAACGTGGACCTTTTGGGATTCGCTCCATCTTCTCACGGTGCCAATATTTCCAACTCCAAGGTGGGTAGAAGCCATGTTGACGGTCCCGTTGTCTTGCCAACGAACAAGGACAACTTCGTCGTTCTGGGAAACCCGCTCATCATAGCTTCCCCGTCCTTCTTTCTTCATTTCCTTGTCTGTTTTCATGACGCATCCTGCCAAGCGGTTTCCCCTAATTGTGCCACTAGCCAAAATGCCGATCTTTTTTAACTCAAGAAAGAGCTTCACGGACGTAAAATAATTGTCCATGTAGCACTTGATGTTCTGTGCCTTCGGGAGGCTTTCAACAAGGCGCATTACGACGGAGCCACCAAGGCCAAGATGTGCATGTTCTTTGCTCACTCCCGTTCCCTTCCCTTGGTAAAACTCAAAGTCATGTGCAAGACCGTCAAAACTGCAGCGTACAAAAACCTTCACGCCTTCTGGGTTCGGTTTTCCTTTCACAAATTGCTTTGCAGCAATGCGTCCTGTGAACGGCACCATCTGTTCATCGATGCTATTCTGTTCCAAGGGAACAAGCTGTAAGCAGCGGCTTCTGACAGCTTCTAGCAACGGCCTAACTTTCCAAAATTTGTCTTGGCTGTTCGGGTCCCGTTCTTCATTAGCGTCGCTTATGTGGAGAGCGCCTCTGATTTTGAAGAATCGCTTCACGCCCATCGAATCGGCTATTGCGGGAATCCTCGTTGCAGTTTGCCAATACATTCTGACGCGGGGTATTTCAGAACACCCATCAGCATGAGCATTCCAAAAAATATTTTGATCTCTTCTTTTGTAGTGGCTAATACGGCACCGTCTCTTTGCAGGACATACCTGTTTGTGAATTCAGCAAGGTCTTCAAATATCTGTTCGGTGAAATACTTGCTAAATACACAAGTGGCTGCTGGCATGTCGAGGCTACTTCAGGATTGTAGTGGCAGTCAACATCACTTGGAGCAAAATCTTTCTTCACCCATTTGAACTCAGCCTTCGTAGATGCCGCAGGTGCGTTCGAGCTGACCGTGGCGTCTGGTCGTGCAGGCAGTGCAGCTGTGGTCGTGGATGCGGTCACCTGACCATTGGCAGGCTGAAACAAACAGCGTAAATTAGGGTCAAAGTACCTTTAGACAGTTTGGTGCCATATGTTTCCCGAGAACACAAAATAATGTCTCACAATCTCGAGCAAACTTACTATGTTTTCTTCATTTTCTGCTTCCAATTCGTCATCTGAAAAGTCGCCATCTGAGATATCTCCATTTGATATTCTCATGAGGATTTCTTCTGCTGTCGCATCATCAACTTTCTGACGTTTTGAAGCATGATCTTCAAGTCCTGGAGACAAAAAATCACACATAACCATCATATCTGCGCACACGGTGCGAAATGGCTGCCCTGCAACAAAGGCAGCACTAAGGCGCAATGTCCACGATCGTGGACGCGGTATTTTTACGCACCCTTTTTGACGTTATAAATAGTTTCTAGTTGCAAAAGTCTTGTTTATTGGCATGAGGTATCTCTTAGCTCTTACTGACAAGTGCATAATTTCATGCCACCTCGAATGAAACATAGCAAGGGCTTGAAAAGTGAGAGCCACTTACGTGCGCCGCCGTAAAACGTGGAGGCGTCCATCTTTGAGAGTTGTTTTTGTAGTTATTTTGTGTCAGCTGCGGCAGATGGCGCCACGGGTCGCTGCAGCAACATGTAGTGATAGAGAGAGCACTGGTTGCGCGCGAGATTCAAAGTAAATTTCGAGATATTGAGCTGTGAAGTTGGCGTCCACAAATGTGGACGCTGCGCCTGAAGGGGATATAGGAATATGTATTTACATAGGAATATACAGGAATATACATTTACAACAAAATTTTGGATATAAACTTATTCATATGTAAAATGCAATTTGGTTCTAATGAGGTTTAATGTATTACAAACCACGCAAGAAGAGATTTCATCACAAGTGAGAGGAACTGCAATAGCAGCGGTCAGCATTTCATACATTGAAAAAGGAGGTCAATGCGATTTAACAAAAATTACGCTATATCCCGCTAAAGTGTACCGCGTGTGAACCATGTGTGAACTATGTGAAGTAGCGGGCGCTAACGCTTACACTGGCCGGGACGTTGAAGTTGGTACTCATCGTGGCACTGCGCAGGAGAGAAACCTGGGGAGACGCAAAGCACGTAGTAATAGACCGATGTTTCCTACAGTAACATGCCAATCGCTGCTAATGGACATTGAGAGAGAGAAGACTCCGACTGGACTCGGAGACCCGCAGTCCGGTTTTAGTTAATGCGCATGCTGCGAATTTTTATTTTTCAACAATGCACAGAAGAGATCTCTAAGCTTGTGTGAATATTTGATTGCTTCGAATATTGGAATGAATAGTAGAGTATTCATATTCGCTTTGATTCGAATTTAAATTATTGATAATTTCGAAGTATTCGCAATGAACCTATAGGCGAATATTAATCCGCATGTAACCATATGTAAAGGTGGTTTCGCTGCAGTGTAGGAGTACTAAGCCGTGAAAGCACCTATCCAAAGAAAATCTGCTCTGCTCCCCTTCAAATTTAAAGGGCCCTGAGCATAGTCAGAAAACGCTGGCGATCGGTAGTCGAGGATACCGCAAACGCACGAGAAAAATATTATAGCGCAGGACGCGGCCTGCGATTCACCATAATTTCTCAGCCAGCTCAAAATGGCCCTCTTCCCTCAGCAAATGACACTAAAAGCTCAAAAGTCACTTGTAACAGCCATTGGCTGACTTCAGCATGGCACACTCAGTCATTACTGGGGCCGCTGCTAGAGGCCGCCGCTTGTCCATGCATACGCGCATGATTGCACTGAAAGGTCGTGTATTCGAAAAAAAAAAATAAGAGAGATGAAGTGCTCAAGGTCACGAGACATGCGTGATGTTCTTCTTTTCCCTGTGCCATCCCTCACTGCTTAACTTGCAGCTCCTTTGTTGGGACGAGAGGCGAGAATGCAATTGCAGTGTGTGACAAGTCTTTGGAACTTTGCTCGTGCTGGACTGATTCTAAAAATCTTGCGGTGGTGAATTCGTGAGGCAATAAGCTTCTTTAGTGGCTCCATGGGTAATTGAAAAAGTGCTGCAGGGCCCCTTTAAATGAACATGTTACCGTGAAGTCAATTTATTTTATTATGCTTAAAAGCTTATTATAAAGGCTTATATACTATAATTATAATAAACCTTAAAATGTTACATATTTTACAAGTCATCACCAGCATCCTACTGAAACTTGAATTCCGCTATTACTCAAGGTTGTTTCGACTTCCTTTGAATGAAAAAAAAAATGTGTATATATATATATGTTTGCATAGAGCCCCTATTTCAATTTAAAAAAAAAAATATTGTGCAGATTGGTTAGGTCATGATAAATATTCCCATTTTTATATACGATACATACCATTCGAATTAAACTCGAAATTATTCAACGACAATTTCTACTCGCTTCGAACCTAAAATTCACTATTTACACAATCCTAGAGATCTCCCACCGGCACTACCTTGGAAGTCAAGATTCAGTGCCTATATGTACGGAGTGGCTCGAGAATGGTTGTGCAGCGTGAAAAGTCATCTTTTTTAAAATGAAGAAACTTGCTAGCAGACGCTGCCTGCGCCAGTGTTGCAAGGCAAGAGAGAGAGAAGGGACGCACATGCGCAATGGCAGTGTAAACGCCGCGGGGAGGAATGCCTAGAAGAATGATGGGGAGGTGGGGGTGGCGGGGGGTGGAGAGCGAGCCTAAGTTAGCAGACGCTCTCTGTGTCGGCGTTGCGCGGCGAGAGAGGGGAACGTTAGAGAGGTTAGAGAGGGGAGGGGACATGCATGTGCAATGGGGGTGTAAAACGCCATGGGAGGGATGCCTAGAGGAGAAACAGGGAGGAGTGAATGGAAGCAGGAGTAGGACAGAAATGGAGAGAGTAATGAGAATGAAGGAGGAGTTGTGCAAGCGTAGTGAGAGTGTATACACCGGCGACGCTGCGGGACATAGGCCCGAGCAAGAATGCTTCACACCTAAAGATAATACTTAGTATAGTGCAATATTTCCGCAGTTGATTTTTTGAACAGAGTAGAATAAAATAATCCCATATACAGAGGTGCAACAGCTAAAATGCAATTCAGAGCAATTTTTGGAGCAGCAAAATATTGCTTTTGGAGCATTAAAATCCATGTTTGGAGCAGGTTACGGGAGAAAATGATAAATTTTTCATCATAAAATTTATAGCAGTAAAAAAGAAGGCTTACATTCAAAAAAAAAAAGAAAAAAGATGTGCAAGACATTCAACATGCCTAAATCGTGCAGAGTGAACATAAGCACTGCTATTTCAATGAGAGTAGTATTTTGAAGCACCCCATTGAGTAAATAAACAATGATGCAGTTCATATTAGCATTTGCTGCGCCGCTCAAACTATTGAACAGACTGCAAATTTAAATATGGATATGCCAAGCTCGCGACCTTAAAATTTGGGAGATTCATAAAACGGACGAGTAGGGGTAGCGAAAAAAAACAAACACTTGGCGCACTAGTTAGTTTGTTTCATGGTAGCAGAAATGTCATACACTGATCCAAACGATTGGCAGTAACTTATTTAGGTGTCCGTGATTATACTGGTACATTTAATTATGGGGCGTACAAACCCATAAAAATCTGCAGTGTCCCGAAAGTAGCGGTAACAGCTACTTCCAAATCTCAATACACTTTTCTGCAGGGCGCCGGACTGCGGCGAAGGTGGCTTAAGCAGCATTCTTTGCACGGGTTAGAACCAAAGCAAAGAAATTTTCTAACTGATACACCTCTACCGCCTCCCACTTCCCCCCTTTTTTTTCTTTCAACAAAGGGGGAGGGGTGGGTGGGTTCAGCTTCCTTGCAAAGCACATTGACTAGGTAAAGTAACAACGGTGTGCGCCCGTTGGCCTGGCTACAGTACGAATATCTATCGCCAGAACCAGATATCTATCACCAGGACCGACTGCTAAGGCAATACATATGGTCACTGGCAAAGTTGGCATTCGCAGAATGTCGAGCTTGTCCGCACGAGAAAAACGCAGAAAACGCTTCTAGCTTTAGTTCCTAACAAGCTATAGCCACAATTTCAGTCTAGGCCCGTGAAGCGTTGGTGGCTAGCAAGGCATTTTTATCTTGAAATTTCGCCGTCTCGCCATTAGATATCTGCTGCAGTTAACGGACCGATGGGTGCGCAGCGTTATTTTATCTGGTCATACTTTAAGGGGAGACACGGGTCTTACAAGGCCGAAAATCGTGAAAAAATCTACTTTTTGCAGTTGACATTTTCGAAATCTGCAACTATTTTTGCACTTATCTAAGAAGTTTCTAGCTTCTCGCGTCATTATTTCTGGCACAAAATCAATTTATAACACCCCTGTGAGATGGATCTGATCACAAATAGACGCTAAAGTGCAGCTTTTTCCATGCCGAAACGCTGCCGTTACACACAAGCTATTGTGGTCATCTTGGTCTCGTTTGAAAGGGTCGTTTTTCATCTTCGATTTCCCGCCCCCTGTGTGGCTCGCCTTATTCATTGGTTCTTCAAAAACAAAAAAACGCGTCATTGAGAAGCACCAGAACACATTTCTATTGGCTGTTTGGGGCACGTGACAAAACCTAGACACCCGATTGGCCAAGTTGTGTTTTCGGCGTCTGCTTCTTCATCGTGACGTGCACGGACATGAGCCATTTTGTCATAATGCTGTCAACTGCCTGTCGCAATAAAGTTCCGCAAAACACTAATTTGTGAAGCGGGTGTGGCGATCCTTCGTTCGCTGTGAATTTTAGAAAGAGCCCCGCTATCACTCAGGACAGGGAGAATAACAAACTCGCGGCAATCAATGGCGGTCACCGAGCCTGTCGGTTGCCGACAACATCACTGAAAGCGGCTGTGTTTTGGAGTCTCAACAGTTACAGAACGGCAAGTAAAAAGCAGAAGTGAAGCTATGAGGGATAGCAATCTTTGCAATGATGGAACAGAAGCACAGTCTTGTCGCTAAATGCGTCGATGCCGCGTGTTCCCCCGTCTAACGAAACGACCTTGTTTGCGTGTGAACTGCGTAACGAGTCGTCAGAGTGGAGTTCGTCGCGCATTGACAAACATCAGAAAATCAATCCGTTTACGATGAACGTGCTAGCCGCCCGCGCAATGGAGGCTACTGGCAACAAATAGAGTGCTTGTAACGACGCATCCACAACGAACATGTTCCGCCACGGCCTCTACTTGTAAATGTGGCAATCTTACGTAAAAAGGTAACTAACACCTCGCTGTTCCTGCAGCCTTGAAATTGATGATCGAGTGCGCGAGTTCAGTCGCGACATCAACAACTCAATCTGGACAAGCCGGAAAACATCATACGACGAACCGCGGATGACGCGCGCACATTCGTCTAACATAGGCGTTAGTACTGTCACCAGATTGATAAGCTGCCTAGTTGGCAGACGAGCACACAGCGACCACATCAGCTCGCAAGAGTGCCTTTATGGAAAACATGCAGCGGGCATTGAAAAAAGGTCATTTAGGTGACGCAGAACAGGACTACATGCCTAGAACCTACTGAGAAAGCTAAATTTGCAAATCATTGTTAATGAACAACTTTTCCATGCTACTATTTGCCCAAAATGGTCTTGTGTTTTTGCATGATTTCTCAGGATTCAAATTTTGCTGCAGTTGCAAACTTGTCTAATAGATATATCTGCCTCCAGAACAGCTAGGACTGTCATTTTTATAGCTGCATCTTTAGTGAACAGAATGGTAGGTGTGAA